GGGAGGATGGCTTGGGGCAGAAGTGGAGGCACTGGCTATGAAGTGGGTCCCACGTGGATCCCAAAGGTAGACTTTCATAGTTCTGACTAACCTGGGGGTGGGGGTCTTCTTCCTCCCTTGCCTCTCAGCATCAGCCTCCTACAATGGGGTTGAGGAAAGGCAGTCATAGGAAGCTGGAATGGGGATGGGGAAGAAGGCACTGCCACTAAGGATATCATCTGGTCCCGCTCTGGGAAGGTTCTACCACCAGAAGTTGCCACAAGGAGGCAAGCCCACTCCAGGCACACAACACCCCAGTAGCTCTGGCCCTCGCAGTCACGTGTATACAGTGGATGCCTGGGTACTCACACATTTGCACACACACACAGGTGCACACACCCCTGCAGGCAGGGGACCCTGCAGGCTTTGCAACCAACCCCACGCCCATTCCAGCTTTGGGATCCACGTGGGACCCACTTCATAGCCAGTGCCTCCACTTCTGCCCCAAGCCACCCTCCCTAACCTTGGGCCCTTTGGTTGCTGGTGATCTCTTCCCTCCTCTAAACTCAGCTTCCCACTGCTGACCACACACCTCCTCATAAACTCTGGCAGGGGCACACCCTGTGCACTTACTTCCTCTTCCTGCAGCAGTTCCAAGAACTTCTGGCCCATTTCCTGAACATCCCTGCTTCCAATACCCCATCCGCTCACCACTTTCACCAGGCCCTTGCTGTGTCCACCTTGGACAAAGGTGTCCATTACAGCAGGGTCAGGGCTCCCTGCTTTCTGTTCTCTAAGATCCTCATCTTCCTTCATCCCCATGGCCCTCAACTCAAGTCCAGATGGCCTGACCTGACCTGCTGGATCTTCAAATTCACTTCCTAACTCCCATGTGCCTCTCCAGCTTTTTCTTCCAATTTTCTTCCATAAGGACTCATACTCATGGATCCCTAAAGTGTCACACAAGGGCCACCTCTAGGCCAGAACACTTGTCCCCTTGCCAGTCAGGCAAAGGCCTACTCAGTTCTCCACAGACCCTCTTCCTCCACTGTCCCCATCCAGCCCTCCCCACCCCCACAGCAGCTTCTCCATGTGAGGGGCTCTTTAGGGCGACAGCTTTTGTTTGTTCCATTGCTTGTGTAGCTCTGTCTCCTGGCCTTTGGTACAGTGCCCTGTATACCAAAGCCCCCCCTGTAAATATGATTTGGTGCATGAGTGAGAATGGAGCTCTGAGACCTTCCTGGTCTTATGTTTTCAACATGGTGGCCACAGGAGGTGCCTCTTCTAGTTGGTATTGTATAGATGGGAAAATCGTGTCCAGAGCTGGCCTGGACAGGAGGTTTCAGGAAGGGAGGGAAAAGTGGCCAATGTGGTTCTAGAAGTGTGCTCCAGCCAACAGGATAAATGTAGGGACCTTGAGCCAAAGAAAGTGAGCATTGGGAGTGAGTCTTCTTTACCCACCTAAATTATTCAGTGTCTGAGAGTGTGGAGCTGCCTTGTAGTCATATCCCATACCCTCCTCTGTTCAAGGAGCAGTGGGGTAGCCTACACATGGCCCGTGCTTCTTTCCTGCAGGCCTAGGAATGGAGCTGCCAACACCAGCTGTCCATCCCTTGGCCTTTCTCTCATCAAGATTCAATTGGGATGGCACAGAACAGCATTGTTTTTTACCTTTCTGATATTTCAGAGAAAAGCACATAGCAATTTTTCTGTATGAGGTAACAAAAATAACAGGCTTAAGAACGAGATCTAAAAGCAAAACTGTGTTCCCCTTGATTCCCACCCATGAGCCTCATATTGGTATTTGGGGACACATCCCCAACTGTTTGAGACTAAGAGACAGCAGTAGCTACTCCCTGGTGTTCATGGATCCTAGTGTCTGCAAGCAGGCACTGAGTAGATGGATAAGGGACTGGGAAGCCAGGTGGCCTCTTCCTGCAGCCCTTGACCCTGTGACCAAGCATGTGCATCAGTGGTAAGTGTGTTTTCCCTGCCCACTGCATTGCATCCCTGCTTGTGGTCTCAGCCCATGGGAAAAGCATAAGGCCAGCCCATCAGCACGTGGACTTCAAGGGAGGGGATTCACATGGCCTAAGGAGAACTGCAGTGGCCTGTTGGACTCTTAGAACTTTAAGTGTGAAGTTTATTGGAGACAGCCACCTGCCAGCATCGCAGTCTGCCCACAGTTTAGGGTTTAAGTCCAGCCCTTACTTTCCCTCTCCCCCACTCCCCAACATACGTGGACCTTGGAAGGAGGTACCAAACTACAGTGCCTGTGCTGAGTCCACATAGGCCCTCTCCTCTGAGCATACATAGAGCATAGGGACTCCTCTAGTGGACCTTTGAGGATCCCTGTAGGTGCCTGGTTCAAAGGGCAGCCCAGGAAGTGCCTATGGAAGGCACCTGGGCAGTAGGAGGAACAGTAGTCAGGCATGATGACCTCCAGGTCAGTCTTCCTAACCTGTTTTTTATTATCCCAGTCATAAAGTTAGAGGGACCAGGGACAGTAATCTAAGAGAGCTCTTACTTCTATACCAGTGGATGTGCCTGGTCATGCTTCTCAACTCCAATCATCCCAGGATGCTAGCAGGAGATCACAGTTCACTTCTGACTGTGACCCACTCCCTGCCTGCCATGGGGCATAAGCATATGGATATGAGCTCCTCTGTTTACTCAGTGCAAAATAGGCCATCATTGCTTAGTCCCCAGCCTCCCTCATTCATTTACTTATACATTCATTGAATAAATATTAGGTGCTTCCAATGGTCTCTGTACCTGGGTAACCCAGCTTGTAGGCATCCAACAGCATCGATTCCATCCTCCCAAGACAATCTGTCCTCCTGCATCTGCCCTGGGGAGACATGGCCACCTTCTGCCCTACTTTTTAGAATGGGGACATGGAAGCAGACTGACTCTCATTTTCTCAGACATGACTCAGAGCAGACATGACTCAGAGCCAGGGATGCTAAGTACAGCCATACAGGCTGTGTACTGCACAACTCTGAGAAGAGTTCTGCAACATGGAAGTCGTGCATTGGGGTCCAGAATCAATTACCTGTGGCCATTGCTCAGATCCCATTGAGAATGCTGCAGTTCCATCAGCAGGGGTGCTAGTGTAGCTGCTAAGCTAGATGGCCCTTGGCTGGTACCATCTCATTAAATCCTGACAAGTCTCATGGCCCCTTCACTGTACAAGATTTCCCTGGGGCCTAGTCAGTGACAAAAGAAATACAAAAGACTTACTGTCCTCCATGTCATGCCTCAAAGATGTCTCCCACCCTGTTCGGCCTCTGACTTAACCAGGGGCCACTAGCCATGTGAGCAGGAGAGACCCATTGCCAGTTCCTTGGCACATCCTGCTCTCCACTAGAAGCCACTGCACCATGTATCAGCTGCTTGACAAGCGTGCAAATAATCCTCTTGGTTTAACATGCATGCATGCATGCATGCAGAATTATGTGCAATTTAAAAGGCACAGCAAAAAGATACACACAACACAGTGACAGACAAAAGCACCAGCTACTACGTGCTTCAGAGGGACAGCTCCCTCAGGCCATCACCCTAACTGCCTGTCCCAGGCCCAAACAGCTGCAAGTAATTCCAGCGGTGCCATCTGAGGACTTGGGAATGGGCGTCCCCAGAGACTTCTCTGCTCCATTCAGAAGCAAGCTATCCTTTTGTTTCTGTTCCTTTGAACCCTGGCACTAAACCAGGCAGCAGAGAGGCCTAGGGAACTGGAAGACAAGGCTTGGATATCAGGAGCATCTCTGCTCTCCTTTTGGACCTTTCCCCATCAGTCCCATGGGGAGATAGGGATGGCCACAGCAGCATTACGCACAGTACAGGGAGGAATCAGTCAGGGCTTTTTGCGCCATACATGTGGTGGTCGAGGACCCACAGCCTGGCCTTGGCAGGAAGGAAATGAGGTAGGGAATCTGAACACATTTCTCTGTGGGCCACAGGAAAATCTCCCCAGCAAGTCAGGAAGGGACTATCAGGCAACTCACGACTGTGCCTACGCCTACCCACGCTCTGCCTGGCAGCTGCAAACCAGTGAGCAGGGTCTTGGCTGCCTGGAGATCAGCTCTCTGGCTTCTTGGCTGGAACACGTGTTATGTTTAAATTGAAGAGGCAGTTTTTCCTTTTGGGTGTGTGCTCATGAGAATGGTATGCGTGTGTGTGCACACATGTGTGTGCATGTGTGGGGAGCTTCCAATCACATGGACTTCCATGAGAGCGCATTTCAGATTGAAATGTGCACTGCATCCACAACACGTGATCTGTACTTAGTAAGGTGGTAGTTTCTGGTTGATGAGAAGCAGGCCCTTATTTCCCCACGTGTAATCATTCAGTGAGCTGCTGACTTGTAGGTATTTGGGCCCAGAAGGAGAAGGTAGGAATGTAAGCATATGCCTTCAGCAGAAAATAATTGTGACAATTATTTTCATGACAAGATCGCTATGATTCACATCAGCTTCGTGAGCAGGAGGGTATTTCTGGGCATAAGAAAGGTTCACACACTTTTACCCAGTCACTCTTTCAAATGTCACCCACATACCCATCGGCTTTAGAGTGCAGGACATATCCCTGGAATGGGTGTGGGTTTCCACAGTGTGGATTTCGCCAGTTCCCGGACTTCTTATCCAGCCTTGGGTGTGCTCAGTGACACTGCCATCTTGCATTACTACTTTGTTCAGCACCTCATTCATTCAACCAGTGCCCACTGAGCATCTGCTTCTTGAAGATGTGGTCATTCCATAGCATACTGGTGATAGGGAAGGACTGGGGATGTTAGCCCCACTTTTGTCACGTTGTTTGTTGAGTTAGGATCATAACTAGAACTCAGGGACTCTCTGCATTGAGAGCATCTGCACCCATCCTCGTAGGTGTGTGTGCTGGCATTTGGTTGTCTGTAGGATATGGCCTTGAGGTGTCACTGTGCAGGTTTCTACACAGTTGTCCTCAGGGTTCTCCAAACAGGGCTAGGAGGCCTCTCTGAGATGCCACCACCCTCCCTGCAGAGTGGCGACAAGGAAGTGGGGCAAGGATGATCCTGCAGGATGAAGACATCACCACCAAGATTGAGAATGACTGGAAGAGACTCAACACCCTAGCCCACTATCAGGTGAGATGCATGTGGAGGATGGAAACTGGCCATCTCCCCAAAACTCTCAAGCCAAGGCTAGACCCCAAGGCTCCAATCCATTCTTCACCAGTGTTTCCTGTTCCCTTGATTGCCTAGGAGAGACTAATGCTACCCAGCCAAGGAACCCTAGCCTTTTGGAGATCAGAAGCTGACGTGTGTTCCCTGCAGGGCATGGCAGAGTCCCCAAGGAAAAGCCCTTCCTTAGAAGGTCTCCTAGGCATTTAAGGCTGGGAGTCTCCTGGAGGCCCTGGGGGAGAGAAGGGCCTGCATGTGTGAACCATATAACAGAACACAGCTTTAGGACTCAGAACCATGTCTTCAAAAAGGGGACAGCCTTCAAGCACCCAAGCTCTCTAAAAAGATGCCAGATGTCCTTTAGGACCAAGTTAACCCTGGTTTGTCCATATGTCCTGGGATGGCCAAATTTCTGTGCCCAGGCCCTTAGAAGTCTCTTCTTTGTAGGTGCCAGATGGTTCTTTGGTAGCTTTAGTGTCCAAGCAGGTGACAGCCTATAATGCAGTGAACAACTCCACAGTCTCCAGGACCTCAGCAAGTAAATATGGTAAGATCTCATCCAGTGGCAGGAGACTTGGGGGTGTATGAGCAGCTGTTGTCATCAGACCCAGGGTACAGGAGTGGAGGGTTGGGGGCTGACCATTAGGGAGGAGAGTCAGGCTAGGGCAGAGGCTTCTGGCTATAGCTGGTAAGCCGAATGTGTAAGCCTGAACTTCATCTATAAGCAAAAGAAGACCTAACCTTCATGAGTGTCTTATAGTCTCTAAGACATTTTCCCTTTTGTGGTGCTCATTATCTCAGATCATGTTCATAACAATCCAGTGAATTAAATAATTATTATTTCCCCCTATTATGCAGATTGGTAAATTATAACTCAGAGGCACAGAGGCTAAATGACTGGTAAAGGTTACACGTTATTACGCAGTGGAGCAAGGGGGCAGGCCCAGGTCTAAGGTTCTGAGATGGAAGGGCAAGGGTGCTGGGCGTGGGGTAAAAGCCCTGGGAGACTTCCCTCTTCTGCCACTATCTGTGTGCTTGGGGGCCCATCACCCCCAAAGGGTGAGCCTCGGTGTTCTTACCAGCAAAATAGGGATTGGGGAAAAGAGCAAACAAACTTCATAGAACATTCTGGATCATAAAGAGATGATTACATAGACAGTTCCTGCACACAGCAGGACATCGTTCTTTGCCTGCGTCATCCTCAGTTCACATACTTGACAAATATTGACAGGGATTTCAGCAAATACGTGGGAAGAACTGACCCAGGCCAGAGGGGAGGATGAAGGTGAGCAGGTGCCCCAGTGGTTCCTCAGCTGGCCAACATTTATTAAGGGAGACAGGCTACCTGTCCTCAACTGTGTACTTAATCGGCTACACAGAGCACATTGTGCCACAGGACTTGAGAACACTTACAAGGAAAAGTGTAAAAGAAGTACAAGCGCATATTTTTACAAATTGAATAATTAAGGGTTGACGCAATGTAAAACAGGAGGGAGGATGGGGGGAACCTGAGTGGGTGGAATTAGCCACAGATAGTTTCTGGGAGCTGGCAGGAAAGGCATCCATGCTTCAGGGAATGCGCCAAACCCAGGCAAGGTGACAGCGCCAGCCAATTGCAGGAGGAATGAATAGTCGGTCTTGGCTGGGGGAGGGGTGTGCAGTGCCTCATTGGGCTCAGGGCAGTGTGACCGCACACATCCTGGGTTGTGGTCCTCGAATCTGCAGAAAATATGATCCGGTACACGGGCAGCCCTGACAGTCTCCGCTCCCGAACACCCATGATCACCCCTGACCTGGAGAGCGGAGTCAAGATGTGGCATCTCGTGAAGAACCATGAGCACGGGGACCAGAAGGAGGGAGATCGGGGGAGCAAGATGGTGTCTGAGATCTATCTGACACGACTACTGGCCACAAAGGTAGGGGACATGGGGGACAGGAGAGCAGGGTGCAGAGAGCCTGTGGGGCTCAGGTAAGGGGCTTCATTTACCCACAGAAAGGCCAGAGCTGGCCCACCCCTAGCAGCTGTGCTCCTGATTACCTTATTACCCATCCACAGTGTCATGCTCACCCAGCCCCAGGACCTCTTCTTGAGACTGAGCCCCAGAATCCTGTTCAACCCAGTGTAGTCCAAAGTTTTATTCTCACCCCTACTCAGTGCGCTTGCTCAGATACACAGACGCTGACTACGTCTACTCACGTTCTTCGGCCAGGCATTATGAAAGAACCATTTCTTCTCTGGGGTATCATAACCATCGCTAGGGATGGAGGGAAGATGGGACTCCATCAGTGACTTCCCAGACTCCATTTCGAATCATAGAGCTGGGCACGTTCCACGCCTGCAGTTTGAGCCTTTCTCTCCTGAGACTGGGCTCCCTTGGTTCTCTGCAGAGCCAAATGAGTAACTGTTCATTAGCCGGTGTACATAGTGCCCACGCAAACCAACAGATCGTGCTTGTCTGCTCTGACTGAGCGTGTGCTCATTAGCATTTGTGAAAAGTGCTAAAGCCACACCACCAGAGCTTGTAAAACCACACCGTGTGGCTGGCAGTGGAAGGCTCACTGGGGCCCCGTCATGACTGATTTGTCTACTGTCCACGTGCTGGGGACGTTTAGAGCTTCCAGAGACGATGAAAGGGGAAAAGATGTAATGCGTGGGATACCTGGTTCCCCCCAGGCAAGGCATGCTGCACACTGTCCTTCCCTCCGTGCCCTGCCCACAAGGCAGCTTTGCAAACCCCTCCTTAGAGGTGCACAGGTGCAGCTCAGTGTGAGTATATCCCCCTCCCCAGGGCACGCTGCAGAAGTTTGTGGATGACCTCTTTGAGACCATCTTCAGCACAGCCCACCGTGGCTCTGCCCTGCCACTGGCTATCAAATACATGTTCGACTTCCTGGATGAACAGGCTGATAAACATGGCATTCATGACCCTCACGTACGCCACACCTGGAAGAGCAACTGGTGAGTGAGGGGAGGTAGGGATCAAAAAAGGCCCAGTGACCTGCCCACCCAGCTCCGAGTCGGGGTGGTAGGACTTCAGGCCACCAAGCTGGTGGTCCTCCACCTTCCTCAGAAGGGGCTTTGTGCAGGCTTTTTCTCTGGCCCTCATCATCCTCTCTTACTGTGCTTCTGTACTCTCTTCCCTCTCCTCCAATCTATCGATGTGTCTTCCTTCCAATCAACCATCAATGAGTTAGTCAATGAACATGTAGCTCAGTGAGCAAAGAAATAATAAGCCAGTGTCATAGCCAGATTATTCACAGCCAAGTACCTCCTGGGTACAGGGCTGTATGGTAGACAATGAGAGTTCTAGACTAGTCAGACATGGCTCCTGCCCTCAGTGAGCTGGCAGACGAGGCTATGAGAAAGGATGTCACTTTCTGAACCTATCTGAAGTAGATACCTTAGAATCTGTCTTCTGCTCAGCCCAGCAACCCTGGGGGGAGCCGTTCATGCTCTAGGTCCTTCTGGTCTGGCCTCCCTGCTGCATGCCTCTCGGAAGGGTACCATTTATTTCCCCCATCTTCTTGGCTGTCTGGGGGCATACCCCAGCCTTGGAAGTCTGCTGTCAGTGAGTCTTCTTACTAGAATGTCAGTAGCCATCAGGATGTAAAAGCTGCCCTGCCCAGACCTTCTCTTGGCCTTGGCAGGGGAAAGCTAGCTCTTTCCAGATCTATTATGTGCCCCTAGTAGCCCATCATAGAAATAGCCCTTCAGTGGTATTTATACCATGTGGTTTTGGCCTGATTTTTCCTGCTGGGGTCACACCTAATCCAAGACTGTCCCAGGGGTTGAGGCAGAGCCTCCCTTTAGGCCAGAAACTCAGGTATTTTACACAGAACCCCAGGCCAGGTGAAGGAAATCCTAGGAAGTGGGCAGAAACATGGTGTTTAAGTTCTCCCCTCACAGAACACTTCCCTGATCCTGGCCTGACCTATTGCTACTCTGGGCAAGATGCACTCAGTGGAGAATTATTGGATCTGCATACAGACTTGACTTTATTGTCCCTGATTGCAAAGAGATTGTTCTTTTATTCCTGGCTGAGGTATAGCTCACCTCTCCCTCCCCTTCTTCCACTGTTCCCTACCTGTGCTCTTTTAAATACACCTCCTGCTCATTTAGTCTGAGTAGCTGCAATCAGCCGGAGATTAGTGGCACCACTAATGTTAATAATATGCTAATATTTCATCAGGCAGAAGCCTCTTAGCACCTTGGCCTCTCCGTTGATGTGTCAGTCATCACAACTGGCTTAAGGAGTGAAGTAAATGTGGGTTTGGGCATCCTGGGTGGGGCTTCGGGGAAATATAGGAAAATGTGAATGGGGGACTTAGATAGCTGGGAAACTGAGTCCCTCACTCAGGACCCTGAGCCCAGCAGTAATGGTCTCCCCTTAGGAAGGTCAGGCATCTACCACGATCCTGCTTCAGTTGTGGTTATCTGAGCTATCCCAATGCCACCCATTCTTTCCTGTTCTGGATTTCCAGTGACAGAGCAAATGCCACCAAATGTTGTCAAGTCTCAGTGCTTGCTGGGTCATGCATGGCACTCTTTGTAGGGACTTAACAAATACTTGTTGATTGATTGGCAACCATGAGTGTCACGGCTTACTGTATTTATAGCATTTGTTGTTTGAACATACCGGCTGCTGGCGGACACAGGAAGTACAGAAATACTGTACTCAGTGCATCAAAATAATGGAATTCAAAGAGTTTAAGTTCTGAGAGGAAAGCCAAATGCATGCCGGCATTATAACTATCACCAACAGCGAGAACAACCTCCCAAACAACAATAAAACATCAGGGAAATGGCAGGAGCAAAGAGGTAGGAGCAGAGGGAAGGAAATAAGTACTCCGTTCCTGGGCTCCACCCCCCTCCTCAGGGGCATCTCAGCTACAGAGCAAGAGCCAGCAGGGAGAATGCAGCCCAGAGAGGCAGGGACCAGCTTCTGCCAGGACCCTTGCTGGCAATAGACGGTGACCACATGACAGGCCTGCCATGCAGTTTTCTCCTCTTCATCCCAGTTCACATAATTCCCCACCTGCAGCCTGTCCTCAACCAGCTAAGGGACTACCTGTGCATGTTTTAAATCACACACCATTGAGTGTGCATGCCCTCTGGGTATGTTTGGTGCCTCCTTCCTACCAGTTACCCACTTTTGGTGCCATGTCTGTCTTTCCCACAAGCCCTGTGGTGTGCAGGTCTTTTGGGATGGAGGATGTCTTCCTCCTCACTGCCTCCCCCTGGCTGGCCCAGGCGATGCTGCATGGACTGCAGGAAGTAGAAGATAAGCCGGCACAATGGGGCAGAAGAGAGGCTGAATGCAGTATGGCAGCTTAGAGAGGAAGCATCACTTAGCAGCACTTGCTCTCAGCCTTGTGCTGATACCAGGCAGTATGGAGCCCATGGACCATTCATGGAGGAAGGGTGTAGCTTCCACCAAGTCATTTCAGGCAGCAGAGGGTCAGACCTAAGCCTAGATTCCAGGTGGTTCCCTAAACCTTGCCAGGTACAGGGGTCAGGTAGTGAACTCCCATCATAGCTGTTTCCCATGCCAAAGGGAAGTTGCTGAATCCCGCGTCACAGCTGGGTACCAAGTCCTATCCAGTGCCTTCCAGCAGTGTATCACTACATGAACCATTCAACCCTGCTCACCTGCAGCTTCCCGGGAGGTAAATTGGGGCCCAGGAGAGCTGCCCCACATCTCCTCCTTAGCATATCGCATTGCCAGCTCAGGAAGAGCTGCTAAGCAGCGGAGCTCCCTCATCACCACTTCTTCTCCAGAGAGCTCTCTGGTCATGTGACAGCCAACTGTCCCCTCATTCCTCACTCTATGCCTCTTCCCTCCACACAGCCTGCCTTTGCGGTTTTGGGTCAACATGATCAAGAACCCACAGTTTGTGTTTGACATCCATAAGAACAGCATCACGGATGCCTGCCTCTCCGTGGTGGCCCAGACCTTCATGGACTCCTGCTCCACATCGGAGCACCGGCTGGGCAAGGACTCACCCTCCAACAAGCTGCTCTATGCCAAGGACATCCCCAGCTACAAGAACTGGGTGGAAAGGTGAGTGTCAGCTCTAGTCTTCCAGCTGGAATGAACGAGCCGCTTCCATAGGCCAGAGGTTCCTTCCCCTCAAAAGCAAGCTGGTGTTTCTAGACTGGTCACTCACAAAGCTGGTTCTGCAGTTGCCACACCCACATCCCAGCAAACAGTGGGAACCAGAGCTCCCCAAGCACTCCACTTCCGTTATGGAAGGACATGGATCTTGGGGACTAGAGGGTCCTCTAGGCCTGCTCGGATGCTGTCTCCACCCATACATGCATGCATGAATACATACTGCACATACATATTCACATACATACCACACATGGCATGTGCCATGTACACAAACCTCATGTACATGCACAGCATACGTACACACGTCGTGTATACATGCATCCATTCTATGTATGCATACTGTATATACACGGCACCCATGCAATATATACATGCACACATGTCATATAGACATGCATGCACAGCATGCATGCACATATTCATACATGCAAATATACCACACTTACATTCATACATCCCACACAATGAATGCATAGTATACACACAGGCCCTGCCTACATAGCACATATGCATGTGTGCATGTCATGCATACGTACTGTGATAAGACTGCTGGAGGCCTCAAGTCATCTCTCCTGTTCATCTGGCAGTTCTCCCAGAGTTTCATGGGGATGTCATTGTCACTCTCTGAACAGCTTCTCACTGTCTCCGTTTCTTGACTCTTGCATGACAAGCTCTTCATGTCCTGGGTCGTGTAGCATTTGCTCAGCCATCATGCCCCTATCTGGTCACCATTGTCTCAGTGCTTCTGTGACTGTGGGCCACCTGTCAGCCATGAGCCTGGCTCTCAGGTAGCATTCCTGGTTTATCTGGTGGTATCAGCTCCATACGCCAAGTGTCTAAGTTATGCAACCTATGCAACTGGCTGGAGTTTATGCATCACTGTAGCCCTGAAATATAAAAGGACAGGAATCAGAACCTCTTGTTACACCTGTCAAGGTGAAGAAATATACATACAGAATGGCTAAGTAGTCAACCCAAGATGATTTAAGGGCAGAGATGAAACTAGGTCCCAAGTATCTCAGCCAACACCTAAAATCTTTCTAGTGTTTGTGCTACTTGCAGATAGGGTCTCTGCCAATTCACATGGTGCCTCTGTGAGGATTAAGGTGGCCTTCCTACAGAAGGAAGTAGCCCTACTCTAAAGTACATGGTTTGCTGAATGATGGGCTAGTTGAAGTTCCACCCAGCCCTCTGGTCCAAGTTCACCTTGTACAATAAACATGTACAGCTGTGTATGGCAGTCCTAGTTTTAACTCTTTCCCAAGTACCTTAAAGATAGGAAATTTGGATGAAACTTCAGATTTGGTGCCTTTTTGAAGAGTAAGAGACCATAAATTGTTCTTGTATTAGTGATTGAAGACAAAACAAATTGTATTGTTTAACCCATAGCAGAGAGAGGCAGTCTCCATCTTTACACTGGAAATTGCCTTCCCTGATAAGGTAGGGTGGACTCCTGATACCTCAATGGAGTAGTTTTGCTTACAGGGTTTGTTTTCCTGTCTGGTTTTTTGGTTTTGTTTTTATATCTTTCTCTCCCTGCTTACTGCTGCCCATGGTGGGCACGGCACCTTGGCAGTCAACTAGAGTCATCTCTTTGTCCTGGTGTTGGATTGTGGTTAAGTCCCTGAGGGAGACTCTCACCTCCATTTACGTAGACAGCGCTGATTCTTCCTACAACAGCACTGCCAGGAACATGCTCTTGTGTGTGAACAGCCAGCTCTTCAGAAGAAAGAGAAGAAAAGACAGAGGCTGGAGTTGGTCATCCCTGTGAAGACACAGGGTCACTACCCTAGAGCCCCCAGCAAAGGCGGGGAGCTGGGTAGTGAAGGGCAGAACATTTAGAAAACCCTGCCATACGAACACCTCCCAGAATAAGCCTGGTTAGTCAGAGTGCCTGGCTGTACTCACAGCCCTCCCTTCACTTGGTGCAGAATGAAGTCCATACCACGGACTGCCACAGGTTACCAGAAACCTCAGCCATTGGGTTATATTTAGAGGTGGATCAATGGCCTCCATTTCTTATCCTACTGGCTTCTTAGCAGCCACTGGTTCTCAGAAGAGTCATCTTTCTCTTGATTGAGGACCCAAATTCTTCCTTCTCTCATTAGGGTGGGAGAACAAAGTCAGGGGGATTGGGAAAACAGCATGGAGGACAGGTCGGGAGGACGAAACAAGGGCTTCTTTACTTGGCAATGAATGGACCCAGTTCATTGCTATCCTCCAACCATCTCCCACACATCTTTGCACCATCTACCCACCAGTCAACCTGTTCCCTTCCCTGTCTTCATTGCCCCCTTGGGATTCCGCTTTTGATCAGATCTAGAGAAAAGGGGGATAGGCTGTTTCACCTGAGCCAGTAACTGCCTCCCTGACCTCAGAGCAGAGCTTAGCGTGATGCCCATGGCGCTTCTGTCATGACTGATCATCATTTCTGTCATTACAAGTAGCAATGAAGCCTGCTAGTGTAGCTGGAACTGCCTTTACTTCAGGTCATCCCTATGGCACCACTGGTCTCACTCATCTGTGCTCCATAGTCTTTCCCTATACGTGAACAGAGAAGAGTCACTGTTGGCCCATCAATGACTGGACTCTGGGGTGCCAGATGTTTAAATGCCATCTACTCTATGTGCCATGGCATGAAGAAAGCTAAAGAGTTAAATATTTAACTAACGAAGCCTTTCACTCAGCATAGGAAATGGTAACGCCTGCCCTGGGAGCAATGGTAGGGGAAGCGTGGATGCTCCATTAGCTTAGGCATCCACCCAGCAGGCAGATGCTGATGGGCTCCAACATGGTGTCCTGAGCACTTGGGATACGATGCACTTGACCCTTCTCTTACAGCTCTCATGGTCAGGTGCTCAGTAGGTCACTGGAGCTGTAATGGTAGGGACTCAGGAGTGAGGCCCTCATGCTGCCAGGCCTCAAGACATCAACCAGCTCACAGAGGCCTTTGAAAGCCAAGTTCAGGGACATCATAGCGTCAAGCTCAAAATGCCTTTCACATCTGCATCTCCATGCCCACCATCACACTTGGCACAGGATCTCTGCCAGTTCTGCCTCTATCCCATCCCTCTGCAGACTGGCCAACACTGGGGTCCAGCCCTCAGGGGTCTTGCCCCACACAGCAGCTCCTAGAAAACTGAGGTCCAGTCCCCAGGGGTGCAAACTCAGCAGGAGAGCTGCCTAAGGCCAGGGGGTGGGATCCAGCCCCTCCTCCGCAGGGTAGGCCTTGGCCAACCTCCCTTGCTGCCAGACCTGGCCAGACCCAGGGAGTTGTAGAGGACTTTCAGAGCATCAGTCCCTTCGGAAGAAGGGCTCACCTACAGGCGGAAATCCCACAGGAGCAAGTTCCAGTACAGGGGTCCAGGCTGACCTTTCCCTTTCCTGCTGCACAGCCCATTGATGAGAACACTTGTTTGAAGTTTATTAATGGGGCTTAATTGCATTTTTCACAATCAATGAGGCATCTCAGAGGAGGATCCCAGCACAGAGGCCAGCATAGCTGAGTGAGAAGGAAGGGGCTGTGCACACAGCAAAGAAGGCACCTCTCAGGGTTTGTTCAGGCTCAGGGGGCTGCTTGGCTGGGGGAGAGCTGAACAGAGCCCTGGAGGGGGTGGGGAACAGTCTAGGGAGCATTAATGAAGCCCTGAAAAGATGGGGCCACTCAACAGGCAGCCTAGGGCAGAGAACAGGGCAGAAAGTCAGCAAGACTTAGCCCCACACCCATTAGGGTACTGAGCTGCCTATAGACACTCAGCTCCACTCATTCAGAACTTGCTAAGGATGAGGTCATGTGATTGATCCACCCGCAGGCTACTGTGGGGCCACAGACATGCACTGGTCCAATCCAGCTCCCCAAGACAGGCAAGTGAGAAGGAATGATGCTGCTCAGTGGGGACCTGAGTTAAGGAAAAGAACACAAGGCACATCCAAGCGAGCCTGTCCCCACCAGCTTCAGACAAGAAGGTCCAGGTTGTTGCCCTCACCCCACTCCACTCTCCACCTCCTAGCCCTCCCCATCCTCTCCCTTTCTCTCTCCTTCCCCACTCACCGCATAACTTTCTAAATAGTCTCTTTGAAGAAATGCAATGGGCTGTGAGTGCCCTGCATGAGGCAAGCCATTGCAGGGGAGAAAGTGCTGGGCATCTGCTGTTTCCAGTTGAAAAGTGTCCATTCCATGTGCAGGTGGTGGTCCCTAGATTGGGAAAAAAGAGGGGTCCTGGAGCTGTTTTCAAAAAGTTGGACAGAATCATCCCTCTCCCTAAGACACGCTTCAGGGTTAGGGAATGGGAATAGAGGAGCCTTTACTTCCCGTGACATTTACCTCTTCTGTGTGAACCCAGGTTTTTCATCCTGGTCGTAGGCTTTGTGGGTGACAAAGTGGAACTGTTGAATGGAGCCTTGGACCTGGCGGTTTTAGCATAGCTGCATAGCCAGCTGAAGGCCACAGCACCAAAAGCAAGAAAACACTGTTGGGGCTTCTCACCAAGGTGGCCCAAAAGATAACCTTTTTTGGCAAGCTGTTTTGCTTGGCAGGTGTGGGAGCCATGAGACGGCCAATGATACAAATTTCCTTGGAAATGACAAGGTTGGGGACCACCGTGAAACCCCCGGTCTCCTCTGTAAAATGGATCATTGGCATTTATTGTGATCCGGAAATGGTGGCAATGAGTTGAGGCTTTCACTGGAACTTCTATTTCCCAAGTGTCATCAAACACTCCAAACCTGGGCTGGGGCTATGGCTTAAGTGATAAGAGCTACCCAGCAAGGGAGAGATCTTGAGTTCAAACCCTGGTCTCCCTCCCCACTGAAGCAACAAATCATCCAAACCCTGTATACTGGGAACCTGGGGATATGCTCTGGGGTAGGCTGAAGGCCTTGAAGGCAACCAGCTCTTCTGGGAATGGAGCCAAGGAACCAAAATGAAGCAGGACAAGGATAAGAGGCCTGCAGGCCAGGACAGAGTGTCATGCAGGGGACCCTGAGACTGCTTTGAGAAAGGCCACAGC